CACTGTTAACCTATTGGTCACAGGATTTCAGAATGCCACCTTTTTAAGGTGGCAATTGGCTTAATGACTTGTACAGATCTGTCCACACTGAATTCGTTTGTTTGTGGTTAAATAAACAAAATTGACACTGGCTTTCATAAATAAGTACTTGAATTTGAAAGAAAAAAAATCAAGGAAAAACCTCTGTCAATTACCTAAAGACTCTAGTTTGTCCACTTTCTTTCTTAGCCTTTCTATTTCTGCATCTTTACTCAGGCACTTAGGGCATTAACATTTCTTTGGTTAATAAATCTAGCAAGGAGTGGCAAGTCTTTTTCCTAATAACGTTTGTTTTCCTAAGATTATAATCAACTACTTTAACATGTAAGGTGCATACCTTTGGGTTGATCCGGATCAGGATTTATGGTCCAAGATCATTTCAGATCATGGTACATCAACGAATGTAATCCTTGTGGCGATGGGATTTTACCTTTGATACTCCCTAATAGTATTGATTTGGGATCACAAATCCTGGACTGGAACAATCAAAAGAACACACCCACGTGGTCTGCTTTTGATAACGTAGGGGATTGGTGCGGTAAGGTCTCAGAAAATATTAGAGCTAATCGACCTGTCACTTCATATCTGGGCTGTTTATGAAATTTCAAGACATGAGAAACGATTAACAAACATGTCCGTTTTGTTGACATTATTAAACCCCCACGTACAAACAACGGCAAAGGCTTATAAGGAACACATTTGGTCTCACTGTTGAACAGGTAAGCTCAGTAAAAAACACTAATGTGCAATAATGGCACAAGAGAATTCCACTGCAAAATTTATAGTTACTCCCGTAAGGGCTTGGTTACGGTCATGCTCACTACCTGTTTTGAATGTAGAATGAGAAAACCATGCCAACTGATTGTTACAACCTACTAGTACTTACGAACGAGTAATCAACTCTCGTCTAATTACACTCAATGAAAAGGAATTTTGTTAGCTTCTACTCCAAACATTTTGATACGTTTCTGCATGATTTATACATCGAAAGCATTCGCTAAAGGGCAATACACACAGAAGCTCAATTCCCCCAACAAAAAAAATTAATTCTGTCGACAGTACGAAAATGGCAGTACATAATTCTGGCAGGATTTTGGGGTGACTTATGACATGTCATGATACCACTATACTTGAAAAGTATAGAGTGGTTGTTTCAGTAAATACTCATTTCCATGCTCCAAAATGACGTTGACACATGAGTTATACACAAAGTAATTCTTTAGAAAGAAAGGAACCGCATTGATTATCATGACTATCAATACTGATTAGGGTTAAGCCCTGAGAATAGTGATTAGTGTTAAGCACTGTTTCGAAAAATGGTTAGCTTCTATTTAGGGTTAAGGTTGATGCTGTATAGTTCCAACTCAACCCACTTCTTCTGATCAAATCCTTGGTAGTCTAGTAGTTAGGGTGGTGGACTACAGATCTGATGCTCTGGGATCGAATCCTGCTCGTTACACACTGGAATTTTTTTCCCTAAACTATTGAGGAGACTTAAACTTTCATGAACATTATTTTTATCCAGCAGAAATTTCAAGAGACATAGAAACTTCATGTAGGAAAAGGGAAATGTCTTGTAAGAGCCACTGAGAGGGAAATGTCAGTTTAGAGTATGGAGATGAGAAGTAATCGGTTCTTTCAACAAAGCAGTAAATCTTCATAACCATATCAGTTCAGCCATTCATTATTTCGGCATTTGCTGATCCTCGTCTGGACATTGTTCTTCCATTTGGTTCTCATGTTCTCGGTCAACCACCATGCAAAAGTTATTGCAACGTAGGTGACGTGTCAAGAATCAAGCACCATTTTTGAGGAAGAGCTACAATAAATACATTCCTTTAAAAAAAGGATAAAGAAACAGAAGAGAAAAGAAGGGAGAAAAAATCAATCTAGCAAACAAACTGAGAAAAAGGGAAAAATAATTACATAATAGAACTTAAATGACATCTCTTTATCTCTACTTCTTGCATAAGGTATAGCATCTTTTTGTCCAGAACGTCCTTTGTGAAGTAGTTTCGCGTTTTGTCAGGCGTATAATTCAGCGCAAAATACTGTTATGTCAACTTCTCGTGAATATGAAGGGATCTGCTTTTTGGTCGAACCTGTAGGCTCCTACTAAACGAGACCTTAAAGGATCTTCTTTCCTCCAATTGTCAAGCAGTGAGGCTTCGTAGGAATGTGACTCTTCTCTACATTGTTTCAGGGTTTTTATAAATTTCAGTTTTATAACGTAAGCTGAATTTCCTCTTTAAGTATTTGATAACCAGAGGGATAGGAATTAATTAGGGTCCTCTCAGAACATTTTATACCTTGCAATCAATGATGAACACCATAGGACCTCCTGTGTGCATAAAAATGATGAATTTTTTCTTGATGGGATCGTTATCAGGAAAATGCATCTTAATGGGACTTCGACTGCATTGGGCACCATCCAATATACACCAGCAGAAAAATTGCTAAAATAAGTAAAATTAAGAGTATGATAAATTGTTGATGAATTTAATAAGAAAACTTACATATACGTTCTGATTTCGAAATGTGAAGAGGACTAGCCTCTGTACAGACGCCCCTCCTCAGGCTAGAAAAAACTGAGACCGGGAATGGAATTGGTTATTGATAGTTATTTTAAAATGAATGAAATTATTGTAATGGGAGAAATTTTTAAAACATTCGGCTCCTTGATAAATCCATAGTCAAAAATTGAACAAATGGGAGGTTGTTTAGGTAACTGTTATTGAGACTAATTAGTATAAGAGGGCAATGAGTTGGTGCAATAAAAGAAAAGAGGCGATTTGACTAAAGATGTCTCAATCGATATAACAAAGCAAACTCCTTAATACACACAGAAAACCAAATTCTTTCATCATATGCACGGTGTGTCAAACGAGAGCGAAAAGACCATTGGGGTGCAGTCATGGGAAGGGAATTGCACTATGGGAAATCGGAAGCCACAGTCACTGAGGAAGATAAACTGAAGGACATGAGAAGCTAGTTGTGTTTCCTCTTTACCTAGTAAACGAAAAAATAAAATAAATGAAAGGATAATTAAGTGTGCAATTAATATCATACCTGTGTATTGATTCCTACTCTGCAGCAAGTTAATCTGTGGGTGACATAATGAAGCTGTGATATGTAGTCGTATAGCAGGGATTGAGAGAGAACTTGAATTAACGGGGAAGGGCATAGGACCTTAAAAGAGGATAGCCCTGAATACTTACCTTCCAGTTTTGTCATGTCCTTGTGTAGCCGTCTGATATCAACGAATCCCACGAGACGACGCTTACCATTCTCGATCTCCATTTCAACGTTTTCCTTTATAGAAAACATGCATCATTACACACTATTCTTTTATGTCAACATGGTTAATAACTACATTATTATACCTCAATTTTACTTTCTTCGATAATAAAACCTCCCAGAAGTCAGCTTCTTGTAAGCTATTTGTTCGGCTTCTTTGTAGAACCAATCCACAATGCTCTTATCCCAGGAAGGCTTTTGTTCAGTCTTATTTTTGTGGTACCTATCACCGGAAAGGGGAAAAAACTTCATGAAGAAAAATCAGCAGCAAGAAAAAGGAGAAAGTATCCGTTATGGTATATGTTGTACTCAATATTTTAAGAAATCTAACCTTAATGTCCCGTTGTTTGGTAGAATTAGGCCTCTCCTAGCTGCTGAGCACATGGGGATTCTTGCAGTACGGGTCCAAGCACATCTTAATCATCCTGGTAAAAAAAATGCGAGGGGATGCATCGTGATCAGGTAGGCCTTGACCCAAATATCACGTAAAATCGCCTAAATATCTTTCTGGCAATTCTCAAAAAATGTCTAAATATCCCAAAAAATTTTCTAAATATCTCTAAAAATCCTCTAAATATCTCGAAATATCTTGTATTTTTGTTTAAAATAAGTCGATTTTGAATCCCTTAGGCCAAAATTTTCCCCAGCAGAGAGCTGAAAAATATGTGAGAGATTGTCTACACTAGTATTATGGAAATAAACCAACTTTCAAAACAATATGGATGCAAAGTTTAATATTTCTCACTAACAGGTCAAACAGTTGGTATGTCTATCATTTGTATGATGACTATGACAGGATAACAATCCTTCCTATTAATACAAATATCCGCTCTACTTTAAGCGAATAAAATGCAGCCTGAAGAAACCTCTGAGACTGAAAACTTAACAAAAGGCGGAAACAGCTTTGTGACTGTAGACTGGCGTAAAAAAATAAAACTCTTGTAGCTCCAAAGGTGGCAAAGTTTCTATGTTTAGACGAATATCAACCATGGTCATAAAGCAGTCGCTAAACTGATACAATTATACAAACCAATCATACCATACAAGGCACTAACGATCATTAACTCGACGCACAAGAGCAGCCTCTACATAGTCCTCCAAGGCATAATTCTGCTGGTCTCCAAACATGGTCACGAGTAATGAAAAGACTCTCTGCTGCTGCAGATGTTGGCTGCACCAGTACCACGTTCTGTACTGCGGAAGACCATGATGGGAGGTCAAAGGAGACGTCTTTCCACCATCGCATGGAGTCAGAAAGGATATCAAAGGCATCATTAATCTCTGCAGCTTTGACAAGGTAAGTGGGGAGAGTAGTAATAGTGGCTACACTAGGTCCTGACCAATCAGAGCGCAGCAAAATTTTTGTCGACCAATCAGAATCGAGCATTTAGACCATGTGACCAATATGACGTCACAATGCCCATATTTGGTCATGAAAATTCACGTGACCCCATGGAATAATGAACATGCGCACACAAGGGTTGAATCCACATTTTTCACATAGTTTTAATGACAACAGAGCCTGGATTTACAAGCGGGACGTGTGTGACAACCGAGTGATGTCACGCCCATTTTACAAATCTAATAGAAGGTCGAGTTCATCCCCAATCCTCTCGTAGCCATAGGGAAAGCTGGATCGGGTGGTTACATCAATGACGCACTTGTCAAACACCAAACCATACTGCTTCACGCGCGGAACCACTTGAATTTGTTTCTTTTCTAAATCCCGTTTGAAATAATAGGGGGTGGTAATGTTCAATGTTCGGCGAGAGTCCTGAGTCTAATTCCGAGAGAATGTTCTCTTTCATCGTGCGGAAATTGAGAATGGCCGACCCACGGACGTTCAGCGTGAAACCCCGTACCTTGCACACCACTTTGCCACCACGGGTCTGGTACCCAAAATTCTTGGCGCCCCCCGAAACAAACTCGGTAATGACGTCTCCGTCTAATTCATCCGTCATATCTCCCAAAAAATCCCCGGTGGCAATGCTGGGTTGACCGGGACGCCACTTGTACACCACACTATCGGTATCATAGTAGAGGACTTGCTGTTGAAGGGTGTCTAGGGACTCGTAGAGCTTCAATCGAGCATGACAGGTGGTGAAAGCTGCCACAAAGATATTGGTCTTGGTGCCTTTGACGGCATTGTCTTGGACACTGGTGTACACAGCTTCCAGGATATCGTCGGTACAGAGGCGGAGCGTGCTGAGATCGAGGGCGGCATCGGAGATGAGATTGAACAAATCAGCGGGGTGTTTGACAGTGACGGTGGTGGGTTTGTTGATCCGCTCCCCAAATTTGCCCCAGAAACTGTTGAGCATGAGCTTGGCGGTGGCCTTGCGACCAGGATTTTTGGCAATACTGGCAATGTCCAATCGAATGCCCTCCCGTTCCTGGTAGCGAAGAATGTAGTCTCGTTTCTGCTCGGGGGTCTGACACCAGCCGGGCCACCCCGCTGATTCCTGTTTTAACTTGAGCCACGTGTTTACGTAATTGGCGAAAAGACCCGTTTGGCGTTGCTCGGGGGGAAAATGCCAGACTTCATGGATCTTGATGAGCGTGTACCCCTTTTCGACGGCTTTGACCAACTCAGGCGTGCACCAGGTTCCACGTAGCGTGCGATCGGCGTCAGAATGAGGGCAATAGCGAGTTCTGGTCAACATGGGTTGGGCTTGCTCTGTCTGGACACAGGTACGGCAGAGAGGAAAGGTGAGTTTGTTTCCGCTACGCACCGGCAAGACAGGGTGGAATAGGCCAGCAGGGGGAAGAATATCCACGGTGGCTACACCAAAATAGGATTCCAGGGACTGGTCGATGGGCTGAGTGATGATGTTTGGATGCCCAATGGGGTAAGGGCAGTTTTTGTTGACCCATGGGTACAGGGAGGTCACATCCACATAACGTATTTCCTCGCCCTCTCCAGCCACGGCATGCAGGGCTACCGCACCGGTTCGACCCCCGAAGAAGGCCTCGCGAGGTTCCAGAGGTGGGGGGAGATCGAAGGAAGTCAGGAAACGTTGGACTGCTTCATCCGTGTCCACCATTGTGTCCCATTCACATTCCCACATTTCGATCACCGTGTGGCCTGCTCGGAGCAGTGCCATGCGTTTGGAGAGCGTGGCTTGATAGAGTTCCTCCACGTTTCGATCCGGTGTGGCATAATGGGTGGCGGTTCTCACGGGATAACAGCGGGGACAGCCATGGTAGAGACACCCGTGGAACTCGTAGACGGTGCGGGTCAGGGGATCGTAGCCATCGACGAAATGATTGTGGGTGGTGGTTCGGATCGACTGTTCGCCCCAATTACGAACGTGACGTATGCGATCGGCACTGGCACCCTCCTTGGGAATGAGGTGCTCTTGGTAGTACAGCCATTGTAGGGCTTTGAGGGATTGGTTGACTTGGGCCCCTCGCCACCCACCGAGAGGTTCTACAGCAATGGTGTCGGGGGTCAAATGATGTTTGCGCCAATACAAGTTGCAAGGACTGGCGATGGTCATGCACTTGGCCATGGGGTTGAAGCCAGCCTGCTGTTCGAATTCCTGCTGAAAGGCTTCACACCCGGCTTTTAATAGGGCGACATCCGATTTGCAATAGTCAATCATTTCTTGCTGGAAATGGAAGGGCATGTTACGACGGACTTGATCTGCATGCCAACGAGTCAATTCCTCTTTCTTTTTGGCCATCATGCCATCGGGATCATAAAACTCCAAATCGGGGATGCGGCCCACATACTGTTGGTGGTCGGGGGTGTTGAACAAATGGGGAAAGAAGCCCTTCTTTAATTCGGTCAAATTGAAGGTGCTGGGAAACGAGGCCAGCGGCATGGGCAAGAAACACAGCGAGTCAATGAATTTAAGGGGTCCACTCTCTCACGTCGGTGAGATCATCCAAATTGCGCAAAAATTGTAGGGCACAATCCTCCCTGTCCAACACATGAATGGTCGTTTCTGCACTCGACGAATAGCGTAACAAATTAGCCACAAACACGCCTTCCGCATTCTGCATGGCTTCAAAATCGGCGTAAACAAACAGGGGAGGGGGTGGCGCCACCATGCTACCTCCCCCCTCCTCTGTTGGTTCAGTCTCCTCATTCTCTTTTACGGGTTGAATGTAACATTTGTGGTCCTGGATGGGCACCCATTCCCGACATAAGAGACATTTGGCGTACCCGCACTGGTGACGTCTGTTAGGGACGACCGTGTACTGGGCTTGACACTTGAGACAGCTTTTGATGGATTGACATTGCTTGCTGACTTCATGATAACGTTTGCATTGACCACCGTAAAACTTGCGGTGACACAGACTGCAATACTCAGTGGGGCGGGTGCCCCGCACATAATCTGGACAATCAAAGCGCCCGCAAGCGCAGCAGTGTCTCCCTTGACAAGTGTGATGGGTCCGATCGTTGGTGTTGAACCCCCGTTCACAGTCCAGACAATAATAGGAGCGGTTGACAAACGCGGGAAAGGACGTACAGCCATCAAAATGATCATTGGATTTAAGTAAACGAATCTGATGAGGGGCGTCGGGGCCTTTGAAGATCAGAAAAAACGGTTTCATCCGGGTCATCACCAAAAGTTGGTATTGAGACCCCAACGCTTGTTGAAACTGGCGAAGCTCGGGTGAACCACAGGGACCCTCAGCGACTCCCGCTTGCTGATGTAGAGCCTGGGCTTGACGTTGTTGCACAGGACGACCACGTTTGAGATTGTCCCAGTCGCGAAACCCGTCCACACCTTGATCTTTATGGCAATGGGCACGCATGGTGACAATAGCGCGGGCACAGCATAAGGCATCTCTGTTTCGGATGGTGACGATGCATTGTTTTTTTTTATTGACTCGATCCAGACATGAACGTCCCGCATTGCGTTGTTTGCGTCGACCAGACCCTGGGCTGGGCATGGAGACAAACACGACATCCACTTGGAACCCGCGATCAGGGTTGAAGGCTTCATTGCTGTTTAACTTGCCAGCCAGGTGGTCAACATTTCATCCAAACGAGCAGTGCGTTGTAAAAATTCCCCCACGGTGAAATTGGCTGTTTGGTAGGCTTGGGTGAACCCGTGAGCTGTAATGGCAAAGTTCACAAAATGATGAGGGGGTCGCTGCTCTCGGCCGAGTTCCGTTTCAATGGCTTGGTGTAATGCTTCCGTTAACGCCATGCCAATATTATCCCCAGGAACAGGATCCCTCAATTGATGCACTTGCGCGTTGAATTGTGCCCGCTCCACCACGTTACGCCAGTGGCGTCGTCGACCAATGGGTTGCATGGTGAATTGGAAGAGAGGGCCGCGGGCGGCAGCAGCCCCTCCCAGTTGTTCCCACCGGTCATAAGCGCGGTTCAACAGAGCATCCTCCTCCTCGTCACTGTACCAGGAGTCCTCCGCCATGACGGAGGAACACAATTTGAATTTCCCGCGCCAGACGCTGGCTTTTATAGACCCAAAAACACGTGATCAGACGAACAGGGATTGGTGGACAGGGCTCAGGTGAGAGTCAGGTGAGAGTCAAGTGAGGGGGGTTGATTTGACAGGAGGAGGATTGAGGGGGGTGCCCCCCATGGGTACAGATTTCTCAAGTCTCCTCTGAGCCTGGACCGAGATCCGTGATTGGTGGAGGAAACCTTAGATATAATCCAGCGTCCAGAACAGACGTCAGTGTTGTTCGAGAATGCCTAATAGAGATCCTGAGAAGGTGAAAGAAGCTAAACACAAGTGGTACGTGAAAAACAAGGAAGAGATTTTGAAACGGAAACGTGAGATGCGGGCGGCTCAGAAAAAGCTCAAACCCCCCAAACCACCCAAACCGCCCCCGACACTGGAACAAATTACGAGAGCCCGAGAATTAAATCGGTTGGCCTGTAACTGGTACCGAGCCAAGAATTTGGCGCAAGTGCGTGCTGTCAACCGTAACTATTATCAACGACACCGCGATCGGATTTTCCAGCAGCAACGGATCCGTCGTGCCCGGAACAGACAGACTCCTCCTCCCAATCCGTTCCGAAAGTTGCGTGCGTTGGCGGATGTGTGTGCTGCCCGATTACTAGAGTTAGAGCATGGATACGCCAGGATTGCGCCAGCCCCCCAAGAAAAAGCGGGACCCTGAAAAAAGCAAAAAAAATCAAAAGTTGTATCGGCAGCGCCTGTACGCCTCTCTAAATGGGATCGAGGATGTAAAGGCTGTGCACCGTCAACGCTACCACGAGCGTATGGCCCGTATGAAAGCCAATGGGGAGTACGAGGCCTTTAAGGCCAAAAAGACCCGAGAGGGTATACGACGCTACCATCGTATGACGGAGGAGCAGCGGACTGAGGTGAAACGTAAAAACAATCAATGTCAAAAAAACTGGATGCAGAAAATGAAAGACAAGGGGACGTACGAGGCCTACAGACAGCGATTGAATGAGCGGCGGCGGGAGATTGCGATCGAGAAAAAAAAAGCGTTGGGCGTGGAGGGGTGGAAAACTCTGCAGAAACAGAGATACGAGAAGCGGGTGGAATCCATTCGACGTCGAGAATGGCGATGGTTGGACGAGGCATTGGAGCGTCCCTTTCCTTTACCGTGGTTGCCCTTGGACTGGGCCGAGTCCGAGCCTGAAGAGGACAGAGTACAAACCCTTCGCGCTGAGGCATTACAACAAATGGACATGTACTTGTAAGAACAAAAATGAGGTTTATTAAAACATGTGTATTGTGCAAGTTAACATGTTGTCTTTTTTATGACTAAGGGGTTTACATGCCCAATCGGAGTTTAGCTTTCATAATGCGTCTCACAATGCGTTCCGTCAGGTTTTTGCTGCCGGGGAGTTGATCAATCTTGGCAATCATCTTGCGATCTGCCGCCCATTTGTCTTTCAAATTCTTGGCTTTATCATAGTCGATGTCATGGGCTTTAGCAATCCTGTCCAACCGGTTGATGTCGGGATCCCCACGGGCCAATCGTTTTTTCAAATGGGTGCCAGGTCCCATATACTGATAACCGGGCCAATGAAATTCAATGCCTGTCTTGTTGAGGAGGTTTTGCACATCAAATAACTTGCCTCCACGTTGCGACCGTCGTCGTCGCCTTGGTCGGGAACGGGGCGCAGCACGGCGTCTACGCGTCCGTCCCATTTTTTTACGGGGTTTTCCACGATTTCCACTCCAAGGCTTTCTTGGCCCAACCTGCGGCTTTCTTTTTGGCGACACCGGTGGCTTTTTTGCGAATCCCGCGCTTGAATGATTGCTTGATAGAGTCCACACGTTCTTTGGGGGTTTCCCAAGGTGCTGTTCCAGCTTCTTCTGAAAAGGGCAACTCGTGCGCCAATTCTTCGCTGCTCAACGGGGTCGTGAACTTGAGTTTCTTTTTGGCACTGGGCGTGATGTTCGGTTTGGGCGGGACAGGTGGTTTTCTGGGTCCACGAGTGGGGGTGCCTTGTTTTATACCCTGGGTAGCCTTGACCAATTGCGTGAACCAGGCTTGCATGGGGCCTGCCTCAAAATCATCGTCGCCCGGGGTCGTGGCCCCTGCGGCACTCACACCACCCGTCGCGGCTCCAAACGGTTGGCGCACTTTTTTGGTCCAATGGCGTAATTGACGGCTTACGGCTTTGAGTTGAGGCCGTTTCCAAGCATCGGGGACATCACTGGTCAGGAGTACATGTTGTTTGGCCGCTAAATCCGCGGCTTTGGTCAAGCGGGTATCTTCCACCAATTCTTGTTTGTACTTGTCTCGTAATTGTAAAAAAGCCGGGGCGTTGTCCACCGTGGTGCTCACCATCTCGGGTTCCATGGTGCAACTGAGGGGTCTTGTCTAGCGCATGCAACGTTTATAACATCGGTAGAGTTCAGGCCAGAGGGCGCCCCCTTTTTGAGCCATCATGATAGCGCGTCGTCGTTTGACGGAATGGGCGGGTTTGGCCATGGCGCGTAAACTCTGGGCGTGGGGTTTGAGCAACGTGATGGTGTGTCGGGAACGGGGCACAGTGCCACGGAGAGTGTTCATCACCAATTCACTGACAGCATTGATCTGATCCGCATTGGCCATCCGCAACAATTCTTGTCGTTTGTGTTGATTGGCTTCTTGTAAGACACTTTTTAAGAACGGGGCTTGACGTTCCATGCGCCACCCCATGATGAATCTTGAGTTCAGGCAACGACCAAGGTCTATTTATGGTAAAAATGGCGCCACACCTACCACACAATTCGCCATGATAATGCGTTTGCATGTGATGTCGACACCGTGCACACATGGCCGCTTCATATTGGTCGTCCCAATCCAAAGCAAATGTGACGGCTTTTCGTTGGGGTCGTCGTCGGTTAGTCCGGGCGTCGAATGCGGATTCTTGGTTTGTATTTCCTGAGCCACAAAGGCGAGAGAGCCATTGCCAAAAGTGGTAGCCTAGCGCCGCGTTGGAGTCCACGTCGCCGGCGTCGTATTCGAGGGACATAACGATATCGGCGACCATTGGGTCCACGGACCATCTTTCAACTAACCCCTGTTCAGGCCCACAAAGGTCTTTTTATACGTTTTCACATGATCGAACAATTAAACGATTCTCCTGCATAGCGTTTCCGTTTGCCTGAGGCCACTTCTCGTCGACGTTTTTCGCCAATTTTGATGGCACGCTTGGTTTGATGATCCCCGATGGCTTTAGTGATCCCATAACCAGCTTTCATAATGCCTATAGGCAGGCCGACCCCGACACCCCCCACTTGACTATAGGTCACACGCCGTCGTCGTTTGGCGGGTCGTCGAGTCGTGGAGCGTTTGCGTTTGCGTCTCATGACGACTCTTTTTGAGAGCTGAACACTGCGAGCCTCTTTTTTATACATGTCACATCAAGCTGCATCCGCCGACCTTTTTGGCATACCCCTTTTTGACCAACCACTTGTTGTACGAGTCCTTGCTGCCACTCGCGCGATACTGGCGTTTATAGTTGGCCACCCGTTGTTTATCAGCCTTTATGTCGGCTTTGGAAGGAATCTTCCACATAGCCGGGTCCGTCAACAACTTGAAGCCTTTCTTGACATCCACGACGAAAGGCGCCTTCCCACCCTTGATCCTACGTCGACGTGATGGTCGTCGAGTCGTGGTGCGTTTGCGATTGCGCCTGGGGGCCATTGCGTTTCGACAACGACCACACATTTTGGGGCGGTGGAAGGGAGACCACTGTTTTTATATCCTTTTTACGGTTCACGCAGAACTGTGACCTCGTCCACGGGCTCGACCACGGCCACGTGCTCGGCCACGACCACGGCCCCGTCCTCGGCGTGGTGGTCTGGGTGGACTTGGGCCGGAGGATCGGGTGGACGTGCGACGTACCGAAGGTCGTCCTCCTCCATCTTCGTAGACGGTGGTGACAGTATTGGTGTGCGTGATGTTGCGAATCCGTCGGCCTCGAGCCCGTTGTTGAGCATCTTCATTGAGCAAATCCAACCATCGCCTTAATCCTCGCCGTCGTTCGTCGTCATCATCATCGTCCTCGTCATCGGACGGAGGGGACGAATCGGGGGACAGAGGGGAGGGCACGCGGGGACGTCGTCGCGGTTGTTTGGCGGCGATGATAGGGCGTCCAGTGGGGGTCGTCACCGTGGAGGTGGTGGTCCTGGTGCCTGCCCCTGCGCTGCGGCGAGAGGTGGAGGGGCGTGAGCGAGCGGTCGTGGTCGTGGCGGTGGTGGCAGGGCGTGTTCGGGTGGAGGTGACAGGTCGTGGTCGACTGGTGGTGGTGGTAGGGCGTGTTCGGGTCGACGTGGTGGGACGGGTTTGGGTGGCCGTGGTGGTGGGAGCCGTGGTGGTGGTGGTGGCGGGGGCAGTGCCAGTGCCTGCCACGGGTGGTAACGTAAATGCATTCAAGGCATCGTCCACATTGACCGGGTAGGTCAAATTAAAATCGTCAATGTCTTGTTCCAATTGGGCACGATCCACAGGTCGAGACAATTCGGCCACCATATCCGTCATACTGCTGAGGTCCCGAAGGACCGAAGGGGATGACGGGGAGCCCACGCCGGCGGGCGAGAGTGGGTCCATGCGGGCTGCTAACTCAGTATGTTGTCCGCCTTCTCTTTGCCGCCGTTGACGTTCGCGTTCCCGTTGCAGCGCGTTTTCGAACGGCAGGGACATCCGCACGCAAGGTGTGGACTTGCGCTTTGCCTTCTCGGGGCGTTAAATGACTCCACAAGCGGTAGCGATCATCCGACGCAGGATGCACATCCAACATCAAATAGCCAAAGGGGCGGGACGTGATGCGTTTAAATAGGCGCAAGACTTGACGCCACCGGTCAGGAAAGGCTTGCAATAAAATGGTCCGTATCCCTGTTTGATCCCGGGGGTTTTTGAAGGCCACAATGTAATGCGCGTTGCAATTGATGGTCTTGGAAAATTTGCCAGGCGGGAATAAATCTTGCGTCAAATACAGTACCGTGATGTTGCGATGATGCGAATCTTTGGTGAACAAATCCAACACGCACTTGTCTTGTCCCCCTTCTTCCATCAGGTCGTCCAAGACCAGCACCCCTCCGCGCGTCCGACCAAACCATTGCGTCAAATGACGGGGGTCCGGTAACCCGCGATGAAATTGAATCCCATCCTTTTTTTGCATACGATCGAACCGGGGTTGCCAACGATCATAGGCATACACAATCTTGCGGGGTTTGACTTGAAAGACGTTCAGGTACCGTAACCATTGTTCCACCAATTCACTCTTGCCACTGCCCGAGGGGCCCGCGATGATCACACTGCTAGGTTGACGGATCATGATTCCCACGGTCGAGGGTGACGTCGATAATGACCTGTGGCCCCTTTGGCACCCATGCGTTTATACCGTTTGTCGCGTCCCAATTTGTCCCCGATTTTATACGCTTTGGCCAACACGCTCATGATCCCGCGCCCGTTTTGGCGAAAGCAGGGTCGTCGGGTGGGCCGTCGCTGTCGTCGTTGTCTGGGCATGTTGTCCAATATTCGCGGTATAAGCGGGGGGATTCAAACTGAATCAGACGTTCCATGGTCTCTCTTAAATACGTTTCGCTCATACTGTCCATGTAATGTTTGAGGGAGACCCAATCTTGGTCTTGCGCCAATTGTCGAGCCACTAACCAATGATACCCATCCCACGCGTCAATGCCTCGCACGGTGTTGACCCGCTCGATCGGGTGTTCCCACCAATACAAGGTTTCTTCCAAGAGGAACGCATCCATGATGCGCTGCACATCGTTTCGAGTAATCATGATGACACCAAATGACGTCTCTTGCACAGAACGTGTCGTTTTTATTCACACTTATTACAAAGGATAAAGGCCTGGCGGCTTACATTCTTTTGCCCGTCAGGTCGGGCATCGACTTCATCTTGTAATTCCTGTTTAATCACCCGTTTTAACTGCTCGGCCACTTTATGATCATTCAACACTAAATTGTCGCAACTCCATTGACTCAAAAAGTCTTGATACGACCGTCCTTGCGCACGAGCTTTCAAGAAAAATAAAGCATAATGACCGCAGGTTTGACTATCCAGGGCTTGCAGGGTCTGGTCGCTGCGAGTCAGGTACTTCCATTGACTCCACCATTGGTGCAACTCCGGGTTGGCGTACACGTGCAGGGGTAGACCATAACTGTCAAAGACCTCGCACTGGTTCTTTTCCGTCCACAGTCCCAACCAATGCTGGCCCGTTTCTCCTGCCGGATCGGTGTTGACAATGTACGCTTGACGGATATCCATGGCGGGGGATCGGGGTAGCTGGTCGGCTGGGTGCACTCCATGAAACACGCGTCGTAAGGTGGGATCTTCCATGGCCAGGGTCCGCAACACAGTATCACTGAGCGCCACAAACTCCATGACCGGTGTCTTCTGACTTCTGAGACTACCTCAGCCGTTGATGTTGTACTTTATACCTCCCAGATGATTGATCTCATACATGTTTTCATACTCGCTCCATACCAACACAGTGACGTTGTGACCCACAGCCGCTGAAAAATCAATGATCAATCGCGTATTGCCTGATTGGCGGGGGTTGCGATACTGGGGGTCATCGGCTTTTCCACTGGGCACATTGTTGAACATGAACAACATGCAGTTGTTGCCTTGTCCCCAATCACTGGGCAGCAGCATAGGGATCTTGTCTTCATTGTAGGCACCCATGGCTTGCAGAAATCGATCGTAGCCCAGCAGATCTTCATAGGCTTGGTCTCCAGTCAGTTGCAGGGTTCTGTAAGGGTATTCTTCTCCATTCAAGGTCTGTCGTACTTGGGTGACGCCAAACTTTTCAAAGGCAAAGGGGTATCTTTGTAGGTTTCCATTGAAGGTATCGGAATGCAATAATCCGACAATCACTCTGTCAGGAAATCGACCCACAAACACATTGTCTTGTTCCCATTGGGTGGTGCGTCGATCAAAGGAAAACGTGCGAACTTCGCTCCGCACGACAGGGTAGCGGGCAATCTGTTTGCCCAGCTGTCTTTCTTTCTGCAGTTTGACATAGACACTGGCATTCAGGGTCACTTTGTTCATCAATAAGGTGACTTTGATGTCTTCATTATGGATGGCTGGAAATTTCTTGGCATTCAAGGTTCCTTTGTTAGGGGTGCCCATCAGGTAGACAGAGTTGGGGTTCAGGAAGAGTTCAAAGTCCATCTGGATATTGGGGACCAACAATTTGCCTGTCTTGAGGGGTGGCAAATGGGGACGAACGATGAAGGTGTGCCAATTTTCACCCAGCAACTTGCTCGTCAGGGCTCGCAACTCTTCATTGCCACTCCAATCAGCGCCTGTGGGCACATCCGAATTGGCTCCTGTGGCTCCCATTTCTGCAATGACATTGAGTTGATTGACCCATCCTTGGGGGCTAGCTTGGTGGCTCCTTCCTCTCGGTTGTAATTCAGCAGGGTTTCTATGTAGGCTCTGTAATGGTAGGTGTTGCTCTGTTCTGTCATGAGGACTCCATTCATGCTCATCGTCATATCTCGAAAGATGGTGTGACCGAAATTGTTGACGCAGTAGGTGTTTCTGGAATTGTTGGCATCGGAATTGGCCAAATTGGCTACCAACCCATTGTACCCAGCGGCTGGATCGGTCAGGCGCACTTTGACTTTGAATCGGAGGGAATTGAGATCGTAATAATCGTCGGAGCCTGGAATGGAGAAGGTGATGGGCTGAATGCCTGTCAAGGCGGGTTGAAACTCCACCTCCCGAGAGGCTTCGTACCGATAATCCACATCGGGCACGTCAAACAATTGGAGCGACATGATGCAAACTGTCCACGTTGTTCAACGGCGTCTCCTTTTTATACCCTGTCGTTGCTTCCTGGCTTTGGCTTGATTGGCCCACAACACCTTCCTGAGATCCGGGTTAAACATTGTGCCCCCTTTCATGCGTTGCTTCAGCCAGCGTGTCATTCTGGCTTTTTCTTGGTCGGCCGCGAGGACCTTCATGGGATCCCCCATGCGCATGCGAGTGGACGTACCAAAAATCGTCCCCCCTTTCATCTTGCGATGTTGTCGAGCCATGGTCCTCGCCCATTGGTTGGGGTCCATCGGGTGCATAGATGGGAACCTCAAAGGATTATTACGCCTGCGGGTGAACTTGCCAAAAATCGTGCCCCCTTTCATCTTGCGACGTTGGTGTTGAACCGACTGCCAGGGTTCCAACAGGTGGGAGGACGTGTGCATCAAGGGATAGCGCGCCATGGTCGACTTGCCAAAGATCGTGCCCCCCACTTGATACGGCGAAATGAACCATCCACGGGCGCGTTGCCGTCGAATACGATTTTGCGATTTGAGAAAGCCTCCTACACGTACCATTTTTTACAGTCCAAAGATGTCCCGTACGCGTTGCGTGGCTCTTTTATAGGTATTTTGGGTGGACCGTTTGACCTTGTGTTTGCCAGCGGCCCAGGCCATAGCAGGGGCTTTGCGTTTCAATCCACGGCTGAGTTGAGCACTTCGATCCGCCCATGTGGCCGCGGCACTCTTGCCTCGTTGAATATCTTGCAGTCCCGCTTGAGCTTGTTGCACGATCAGGGGTCCCGCCAGTTTGATCAAGTCTTCGGCCAACCCTTTACCCTCTTGCTTCGTGAGCACGGGCGTGTGGTACTGCGTTAAACTGCCTCCGCGCATGGTTCACGTCGTGGTGCTTTTTGGACCCTCCAGAGAGGTGGGGTGACTTTTTATAGCTTTTTGAGACCAATGGTCACCAGGGTTTTGCCTGGGGGTAAGATGGCCAGGGGTCCACTGGTACTGGCAATCTGCACTTCCACGATATCCATGTGTTGGCCTCGCACTTTGATCCATTGGTGGTGCAGGGGTTCCACCGTACTTTCCCCCTCGCCGGTTCTCAACAATTGCACTTCCCGCAACAGGGGAAATTTGCCACTGCCCACCACGGTGGATTCGACGAGATCCGAATAGACCATGACCGTGCGTTTGCTGGTCCCCACCACTTTTTCAAACGAGGCATCCAGGTTGTTGAACTGCCATTCTACCATCCTGGACAGATGAAGCCGTTTATTTTTCACCTCAAACATTTGATCCATCACGTCACTGGTCAAATCCGAGGGTTGCATCCCGGCATAATGCGCTCCTTCCCAATAATAGTCCGTTCGATTGGTGGGATTCGTGGGGGGTGTTTTGCTATCAAAGGTCACGGTGGGGCAAGTGAATTGGAGATTGGGACCCAGATTATAGCCCACCACGCCTTTCTGTTGTTCAATGAAGCCAAACCTTTCCGCTACCCCCAGATCCAGGGAAAAGGTGGTTGTGACTTTGGTCTTGTTGCCGTTCAACACGTCTACTTTAGGCACGGCATGCAACACCAAGGCATCGTCTTTCCAGTTCATCATAGGCATCCAGTTCTTTTTCACACTGACCAGGGGTCGTTCATCTGCATTGAAGGTCTTGGCAGAGTCTTGTTCGTGCATTAGTGCCCGCATGGTCTTGTTGTGCACTTCTTGCATCGTTCGTTTCCAAAACAGGTTCCCTGAGGTCACAGGATGTTTGGCACTCATGATATCTTCCAATTCCACCGTGTACTCCTTGGTCTGAAAACTGACCCGTCGATACTCCCCCAGGATATATTTGCGTGTCAAGTACGTCACGCTGAAAGTCACGACTTTGGTATGAGGATCTGTGGCGATGACGGCATTGCTCTGGCCTTGATCGGGGACGGTCATAGACATCAACGAGGCATGCCAACCCTCGCCCGGTAAGGAGAGGCGTTCGGGCAGACGGACCTTGAAACTGTTGTTGGCATTGTTGGGAAATTCGTCGGTCGGATCGCTTATGAGCGTCAGGCGTTTAATCTCACTCATGATGATGAAGAAGAGGCGCGTCCCAGAGGGTGCAGGGTCCTTTTATAGCCATTGGTCCACTTTCTGTTTACTGCGAGGGACACGTCCCACCAACAAATTGAAGGTCGATTGTTTGGGATGAAAACACACTTGCTGGGCAATGTTGGGAAAGGCCCGGGCCAGTTCCATCAGGGTCATGCAGGTCTTTTGTTTGGGGGGTTTCTTCTTGCGCATGGGTGGATGACGTCTGGCACGTCGGCGTTGTTGTTTTTTCTTGGGTGGGGACCGTAGGGCACCCCGTTTCTTGGCATACTCTTCGGCTCGATGGTAGGCATTGGCGTAGGCCCATTGCTGCTTAGTGGGACTGGCCAACTTTTCCCACCACGGCTGGGTTTGCCGTTGTTCGGCGGCTTTTTTCTGGATGAATTTCAGTACGTCTGCGTCCGTGGTGGGAGAGGGCGTGTAACTGGCCCGCGGTCGACTGGAATCCGCCAGGACCTCATCGAGAAACCGTACCCGCTTTTTTCTTTTTCGAGGCGTTATTTTGACGCGGACCATGTTGCGCGGGAATCCAACTATCGTACTTGGCCGGCCACCCTTTCCACCGGACCAACACGTGACGTCCTTTCCGTTTCAAGACTTTTTCGACTCGAAATAACGAGTCGTCCGACACTTGGACTTTTTGGACATCGGGTTCGTAAAACGTGCCTTTTATAGGCGTGCCGTCCCATTCACTGAGTCGATAGGTGACCACGGGATGACGACGCACATGCGTGACCACAAACACTTCTTCCGTCCAGCCCGGCAAATACCCTTTTTTGAAGGGACGATGTTTCTTGTTGAGACGCACCCGATCACCTACGCGACATTTGGGTAGTGGGGTCTTTTGCTTTAACCGTGATCCGTAGAGTCGATCCCATACCTCGGACTCGTTTCTAAAGGTGACTTGATGCGGCGCTAAACCAATACTACGATGATACGCGTGATTGTACGTATAGATTAAGGGTTGCAACACGTCCACGTACCGTAACGTAGTGTGTGCGGTAAAATACCGGTACATGCGTTGTTTCAAGGTGCGATGCCATCGTTCCACCACGGAGGCCTTGCTATCTCCATACGTGTAAAAAAAATGCCAGTCGTGTTTCTTGAACCAGGCTTGGACCTTTCGATTCAAAAATTCTTGGCCTTGATCCGTCTGTACACGGAGGGGTCGTCGTGGTGAGGCTTGTCGGCGTATCGCTTCCAACCCTCGGATCATTTCGGTGGCGCTCTTTGATTTGATGGGGACGGCCCAGGCATACTTGGACAGGACGTCGATGACCGTTGACAAATATTTGTTGCCTTTGTTCCACCGACTGAGTTTTTGCATGTCCACTAAATCCATCTGCCATTGTTCGTCTCGGCCAAAGACCAAAGTGGGTGTAGTGGGAAATCGGGTCCGTCGGGGTTTGTGGAGCGTATAGCTCAACACGGATTGAAGAATCTGTTGCGCTTGCGGGGTTTTCAATTTATGGGCTTGGGCAAAGGGTTGGACCCCACCCAAAGCCCCAGGTTCCTGGGGATCTTCGTAAGCGCGTGGCAACGACATCAAGACACTGACACATGATCCGAGCCAATTTCTGTCTTTAATAGTTTTTTTCACACACCTACATGATTTTCAAAACAAACCCATGCTCCCAAAGTTCTTATGCAAATGACGCCTTCTCTCATACTCTCTCTCCTGGGCTTTGACGGATTCTCCAAACTGATTCATCCACGGACTACGCCTCATCTTTTCTAGATTCGTGTCTGGTCTCTCTAAAACGTGCATCCCCCAGGGTCGGGGTTTCTCCATCTCTGGGCCTTTTCCTTTCAGAAGAGGGACAGGTAGAGACTCCTTGACCCATCGTCTCAGGGTAGGTTGCGCTTGCTCTCGGGGACACCACAGGGGGCCATGGAGCCATTGAAAGTAGCCACAGGGTTCTTCGCCAGGGATGAAACTCCCACAACTGAAAAACACTTTGTTGTAATTTTTGGCCGTGCGACTCAATTTCATTTTGGGGACAAACCCACACTTGCACTTCAATTCTCCGTGTTTCACTCGGGCATGGACTTGAGGATGCGTGTCTTCTTTTAATTTCTCCATCATCACCTCTCGCGTGTCTTCAAACAAATAGACCGGACACCCTTCTTGGGGACACTTGAACCTTAATGGACCAAAACTGGCTTGGGGGTTGACACATTCAATGAATTGATGGGGATGAAACGGGCACGATTCATACAGGAGCTGGTTAAACTGGGTGTCCATCTGGTCCAGCTCTTCCCCTGCTTCCGCGGTCAGGGAGGCGGTTCCTTCCTCTATACATTCTTCCTCATAATCTTTCAAGGTGCCCTCCATCAATTCGTTCACGGATTGGTCAGTGGGGGAGGGTGTGGGCAGTGGGTCCTCCGCTCGGGGCAGAGCCTTCAGAGCCACCACGAATTCACTGGTCAGGGGTTGAGTGATTTTCTTCTCCAGGGCTTCAGCTTCAGCTTGGGACAA